GAACATGCTGGAGACTTCTGACTTGGATAAAAAAAATTCTGATACAGGTGAGAGTGGTAATCAGAGACAATGTAACTGACAGGAGTGTTACTAGCAGAGTACCACAGGGTTCAGTTCTTGCACCAGATATGTTCATTGTCTACATAAACGATCTATCAGAAGAAATAAGTAATTACGAATATGCTTGTGGATGATGCTAAAACACTGGGGAATATAGGAAATGCTGACGATTGTAATGCCCTTCAAATTGATCTAGATAAAAAAAGTGCTTGGCATATCAAGTGGTAAATGGAGTTTAATTTGAATAAATGTCATGTTGTGGAATTGGAGAAAATAGACCACACAACTTACAAATTGTGTGGTAAAGAATTACAGAACTCTAATAAAGAGCGAGACCTAGAGGGGGTTTTGGATAATAAGCTGTTGCCAGAGAAACGCACAAAGAACATTTATGTTCTTATTGTTGCTTTCGTATGGGTATAAAGTATGAGTCGCTTTCCAACTTCAGACTTGCTTTTAATTATATGGATGTTGAAATACTAAAACTGTTCATGACTTTTGTGAGACCAAAATTGAAATATGCAGGCAGTTTATGGTGCTCAAATCTCAAGCAACATACAAATAAACTGGAATAGGTGCAACGGCATGCTATAAAATGGCTTCCAGAATTTAAAAAAAAAGTTAAGAGGCATTTAACATGCCAGAACTAGAAGATAGAAGAAAAAGAGGAGATATGATCACCACTTACAAAATACTAACAGGAATTGACCAAATTGACAAAGAGGAATTCCTGAGACCAGCAACTTCACAAACAAGAGGACACATATTCAGGCTAAGAAAATAAAAATGTTGAAAGACTATTACAAAGTTTTATTTTGCAAACAGAGTGGTAGACAGTTGGATAAGCTAAGTAAGGTGGTGGTGGAGGAGGCCAAAACTGTCTGTAGTTTCGAAGCATTATTTGACAGAGTGCTGGGAAAACGGGACACCATGATCGTAGCTCTCATCCTTGAAATATTTTTAGGTAATTACACTTGGGTAATTACCACAGGCAATGAACTCGCTGCCCCTGACAAGCATAGTGGTACCTGGAGATTAACTCCAAGCTGAGATCCATTGCATCTGTGGGCAGCTTGGAGTAATGGGGAAAGGCTCCATAAATATTAATCTGCCCAGAGTAAAGTGATGAGTCAAGATTCTCCACAAGTAAGGCAGGGCATTTTTTATATGGTCCTGACTGTGACATAAGGACTCCCCAACAAACCAGGTACAGTATAGCACCTTCAGTACCATACCAATGATGGCAGCACAGCCAAAACAGGTCTGACTGCAACAGAGTAATGTCCCGGCATCCCAGGCAAGGCCAGCTAGGTTCGAACCTAAGAAGGCACCAACTGCGACAAATTTTTGTTCGACCAATATGCAACAGAGTCAACTAGAAATGAAAATACATGATCTGATCTTCACAGACAATGAAGAAATATCAGGGACATTACAATCTGTTACCATATACTAAGATCATTAGCTCATTGAAGTGCAAACTAAGATCAATACTTGTAATATAAAAACAAATTATCAAGCAAGAGTTTTTCAATAAATTCAGTTTTAATAATACAGTAATAAGATTGACTGGGGAAAAGTAAACATAACTCAAACATTTAATAGTCTTAAGTAACAAAACTCCTAAGCAACGAATAAACAATTGACTGCTGAGCATAGAAAGTCTGCTTGAGGTGCTCCTTTGCAGAAGGCCAGGAAGAGAATGCAGACAACACTACAGAAGAAGGAAACAGATAACAAATGCTAAAGCAGACACAATTATCTCAACAAAGACAAAATGAATTAAATGTAGATCGAAGAAATAAAACAAGCTGAAGCAATCATACTAGACTGAAGATATGAAGTTCAAACAGAAAGCCACACGAGATAAACAACATTCCAAAATATTTCTTCACATACATTAAAAATAAAAAATAAAAACTCCAAGTATTGAACCTATATTTAAAAGTGAAGGTTCATATACAGAGGATGACAAGGAAATTAGTGAAGTGCTAAAAAATCAGTATGAGGCTATATTTAGCACCCCAATAAACATGATGAAAGTGGAAGATGCAGACAGCTTCTTTATGAATGATATCAAACCCCCCCCCCCCCTTGTGATTGATATAACACAAACTTTTTATAGACTCTGAGTTTTATATTTATAAAGAAATGTAAAGTTCCAGTAGCACAAGTATTCAGTGTAGAGAAAAGGCATAGATGTTGAGGGGGGGGAGGGGGTTGCTAAATAGCCTTCCTGGCTTGGTGTCTTCTTTGATAATTAATTACTTAGATGTAGGGGAGATGAGCACTTAAATCAGTTGATATAGCTCCCCTACACAAAGAATGAGGCAAAGCATTGGCTAAAACCTATAGACCAGTTATAATAATAATAATAATAATTTTTATTTAGGTAAGGTACATACATAAAGAGATTTTACAAAGTTTGTTGGGTTTATAGATAGAGCTAGTACATACAATGCCTAAAGCCACTATTACGCAAAGCGTTTCGGGCAGAGTTGCATTATCACACATGATAAAAGTTTTGGAAAGGGTAATCGGAAGTCAGATCTCCAGTTTTATGAAGAACAACCTCCTACACAACCCAGGTCAACATGAATTTAGAATGGGAAGATCTTACCTTTCATAGTTACTCAACCACTGTGACAAAATCATGGAAGCATTACAAGAAAGACAATGTACATGTGGTATACATGGATTTCACAAAGGAATGTGATAAATGTGTGTAGTAGGAATAACATGTAAAGTAGGGCAATGGATATTCAATTCCGTCAAAAGGAATGCAAAGAGTAAGTCAATCAAATAAAGTCCAAGCACAGTAAAAAGCTCTGTACTGCAGAGCAGAATTTTTGCACCACTGTTTTTTCTTATTCCCATATCAGACAAAATACAAATCAGTTTCATGTCATATTTTGTAGATGACAAAAATTCATCGTGAAAATTACTGCTGTAGAAGACATTGGAAATCTACAAATTGATATTAATAGTTTTTGATTGGGCAGTGGAAAATAACATGTTAACAATGATAAATTCCTGGTACTTATGTATGGTAAAACTGAAAACAATTTAAACAAATACAGGGTACAAGCCACAATCAATTCCACTCATAGTAGGGAAGTAAAATTTAAAATCTGGGAATAATGATTACTAACAACCTAATGTGTAGGGAGCATAACCAAGTACTGTTCACTGTAAATATAGTGTCGGCTAGAAAAATGCTAGGCTGAATAATGATATTCAAATCCAAGGATTCCATCACAATGCTCATACTATTCAAATCACTTGTGATGTTCTGTCTTGAGCACTGCTTGATACTCACTTTACCCTTCAGAGCAGGAGAGATTGCTGAAATAGAGGAAATACAGAGAACATATACAGCATGCATAAAAGCAATAAGGCACCTAAATTATTGGGACCGTCTCAAAGCTCTCAGAATAACTCTCGTTCCCTCTCCAGAGTATATCACATTATATACAGTACATGGAAAATACTTGAAACAAAGGTCCCAAGTGTGCAAAGTAAAATAACATACTGGAGTGAATGATATGGTAGGAAATGCAGAATTAGAACCAGTGAGGAGTTGAGGTGCCATAGGCACTATCAGAGATGATTAAAAATCAGAGGTCCATGGAAAGTATAAGACATTGCAAGAACAAAAGTGGATTTCTTTGAGAAAAAAGTCTTCTGCAAGAGGTGACAGATCGAGGTTGTTGTAGATATGTGGGCCTTCAGTTCGCTCCAAGCAAGTCTGCTGGACTAATCTCTCTCAAGTCTAGCCTGGCCCCAGGCCAACTGGGAAATTAATCAGATTCCTGGCTTGCTTGAGGGGCAATCTTGTTGAGATCCCAGGTGACCTGAATGACTGGGGATGCCCAAATCAACCAGTAGTTTAGGTACAAAATGCAAGTCCCCAATAGAAAAAAAATGTCCACATGAGTTAGTCTGAAGATTTTGGGACCCAGGTTCAAACCAAATAGCAAACCCCAAAGGATGGTATGAGGAGTACTGTACTCCAGCCAATCCCTGGACTATAGTTTGCAATCCTCAACCAGTTCTAATGCATGGGGGTTTCTTGACCTTGTGTTCTGTCTTTTGTGCCAGAGTTGGATAGTGGGTTTCTTGGTGCCGTGTTGGCATCATCTTTTTACACAGGCACTGTGTGGTGGTTTGGCAGTTCTTTTTCCTCTACTTCTCTTCAGTGCCTATCCTCTGCGGTAGTTGCTAGTTCTAGTTTTTTCTGTACTGGCTCTTCTTTCTTTTTTGGTTACTGCCTATACTGTTGCCTAATGTTGTTCATAATGTTGTTGAGCCCAGTCATTTCTGGTGGGGGCAGATTTACTTAGTCCAGGTGACCTGACATATCATCTGGTGGAGGTTGGGTGCATTATGGCTAAAGTATTCACCCTACAGCAATGGTTGTTTGTCTTGTTTACCAAGGGGGTGTCAAATTTCCTTCAAGCAGTTGCTATTTTGGTGTGCCTATGTTTACCGGTGCAGTTTTCACCGTTTTGTGGTTGATTTGTGATCCCCTGCTCCCATCTTGTAGAGTGAGATGTTGGTCCTAGCTCCCAGTAGGTGATGGACAAGTCTCGAAGACCTGGTGTGTTAAGACTAAGGCTTGGGGGATGGCAGAGCTAAGACCTAGGAGCTATTGGGGTGTACCAGAAAAGGGTGTTTCATTACATTAACATTTGATTTATGCATAAATTAACAAGTTGTATATGAATTTTGTTAGTTTGCTACATCTCCCTGTGTGGTGTAATAACTTTAATTTGAAGTTGTGTGGTAATAAAAAATAGTAGTGCATTAATTTCTTGCATTGGTCATGTTTAGAATATAATGAATAAGCCTATTTGCATTTGGAAAATTTGGGGTATATTAAGTAAATTCATAGGAAAACTTACAGAAGTACAGTACTATATTGTGTGTTCACTTCACAGATCAAGTGTTGAAGCAAGTGGTTCTGCTGTGTCAAAACGCTCGGGTGCTGTACGAGTTATTATCCCGCCAAACATTAATGATCCATTGAACTTGGATGCATCGTCTGATAATGAGGACACACTTACGGATGCATTGCAAAGACAACTTCGTCGCAGAAGAAGAAATAGGGTAAGTACCAGGGAAGAAAATAATTAAATTGTATAATAATTGACTGCCATGTAATGAATGTGTTCAATAAAAGAAAATGAACAGTAAAATCTAAAACATTTTGTTTAGCAAATTCTTTGTCTGATAAGAATGATTTGTGGGGGCCTCGTAGCCTGGTGGACAGCGCGCAGGACTCGTAATTCTGTGGCGCGGGTTCGATTCCCGCACGAGGCAGAAACAAATGGGCAAAGTTTCTTTCACCCTGAATGCCCCTGTTACCTAGCAGTAAATAGGTACCTGGGAGTTAGTCGGCTGTCACGGGCTGCTTCCTGGGGGTGGAGGCCTGGTCGAGGACCGGGCCGCGGGGACACTAAAGCCCCGAAATCATCTCAAGATAACTCAAGATAACAAGATAATCAGATGCACTGGGCATTATTGTACTGGGCAGGCGTTTTGGGGACCAAAACTCTTTGAGATTGTTTTATAATATATTTGAATACAGTATGCTAAAAATACGTATTCTCGTATTTGAGTAAATATTATTCAACAGCACTAGAATATAATTTAACAATTATTTGAAGTTATTTACAATACTGTGTGGAATATCTTAAATGACACTATTTATTTGGGGAACCTCCCTCAGTATATCCCTGATGTATAACACATTGGCACTGGTAAGTCATAAGACCGTGCCAGACCTGAAAATTATGTTGACCAACAGGGAGCCAGAACCAGCATCAGAATCTGACACTCATTAGTGACACTGTGTAACACTGACACTCAGAATCTGACACACTACATAAGGTGAGGGATACTTGGGAATGAGAGATAAATGCAAAACATAGAAAAACCAATCAAGTCAGCCAAAACAAAACAAACCACTCAAAACAAATTAATGAAACCCCCTTAGAAGAGGTTGGGGGGTTTGTAGCCTGAATGTTCACCCCTGCAATTGGGGGTCGATGGTTCTGCTACTAGCACTGCTTTTGATGCTATATAGTGTACGAAGATTGTACATAGTCTATGCAAATTCCTCTAGTACAGTATTTGTAAATAGTATTTTAGTAAATAGACACCTCATGTAGCCATTTGTGGGCTTACAATGCAAGTGGAGTTTCACAGCAAAGGTAAGTAAAAATATAGTCGGTAATATATCACTTTTATTTGTGATTTTACAATTGTATTACAACATGATTTTGATACAATGTGTTAAAATGGTTGGGTCTATGATGATGCAGAATGAAACTGAAGGCAGTTGGTCCTAATAGTCCAGTCAATCAAATGCAGTCTTTACTAAAAATGAATTCCCAGTAATTTGGTTTAAAAATTCCATAAAAGTGGGTTCTATAGTTTTTGCTAATTATAAACATAAATTATGAAATTTCCATGGGCATAAAAAAAAAATTTGAACGTTGATATAATGAAAGGTGTCTGGCATAAATTTTAAAGTTTGAGTAAAACGTGATTGTTTTGCCATTTTGTTTTCTTGGTAAGTTCTTTTACATTGAAATTGGCAATTGAGTTGACAAAAGGCATGTACAGTACTTTAACTGAAATCCTATTTTGATGAAATGAGTTGACTGTTGCAGTCATTTAATGAAGTATTTTATTCCACAAGCACTTTTATTGCACTTGACATCTGTTAGTCCAAACAATTTGATCGATCCATTTGGGATTAGATATTTAGTCATGGTCGGACGTTTGGTCGAATCTTCTCATAATAATTTTATGTACAAAAATACGTAACGATACATTACAGCTTCACTAGATAAAACAAAAGCACCACAGAACTTTGTATTGATAATAACTAATATTACCTAATATGGGTTCTCACTAAGGGTCTAGATGTTTCTCCACGTGTGATCTTGGAATGATGTTTTGGAGGGTAAGATTGTGTTGACTGAAGGAGAAGGTGGAAGGTATGTTGGGTTATCTTGAGGTTATCTTGAGATGATTTCGGGGCTTTAGTGTCCCCGCGGCCCGGTCCTTGACCAGGCCTCCACCCCCAGGAAGCAGCCCGTGACAGCTGACTAACACCCAAGTACCTATTTTACTGCTAGGTAACAGGGGCATAGGGTGAAAGAAACTCTGCCCATTGTTTCTCGCCGGCGCCCAGGATCGAACCTGGGACCACAGGATCACAAGTCCGGCGTGCTGTCCGCTCGGCCGACCGGCTCCCTGACTGGAATCTGGCGATTCTGGTTCGCCAGACTGTAGCTAACATTCTTTATTAATGAGCTCTTGACTAGCTCATCTTCATGTGAATGTGATGGGCTGTCATCAGGAACTTTGCTCTTCTCTGGAAAGCCAACATGTTTCAAGTGTCCTTCACCTCTGGGTACAAAATTACTTTTAAACCATATATGAAATATTGTTCTAGGTATGCACTATGCTGAGCCTAATAAATCAAAAGGGGATACCTTAGATAGCCTCAAGAACATCAGAACAGGAATAACAAACCGCAAACAACCTATTGGCACATGTACGGACGCTTCTATTTATCCCAGCACATGAACACTAAATAGTGGCTTTGCTCTCTTTGTATTTTGCACACAACACTTCTAGGAATGCTAGAGTAAATTTTGTTTTTCATTTATTTTTTGCTAAAAATTTATCACATTTTCTCATGATTTCACCTCTTGTTGAAGCCCTCAACAATAAATTTCCTGCATTTCCTGAAACCACAGGGGCAGGATATAATACAGTATATATTCAGTGAAATAAAATGGGGAGGGGGGTAGGGAGATCTTTAATGACCATGGGTAAAGCAAAACAAAAGCAGAGGTAGTGCCACGGCCTCTCACTGACCAGCTGCTAAACTACACATCTCATTAGAGGATGGACAGTATCAGTGGAGCAAGTGAGGTGCCAGGCCGAGAACACAGATGCATATTCGAAATAATCGGACATTTGAAAGTCGAACAGGAGGTCGGGCAGTGTATATTAATTCATTAAAATTTTTATTTCAGAAAAGGAAACGGCGGCTGTCAGAACCTACTGTCAGTACTATTGATGGCACACTCATGCATGACTTGGAAGAGGTTGACAGAGTGGAGACTAAAAGCATCGACACAAGTGGTGTGATTAAAACAGAAATGTGTAGGGAAATGTCTATGGTCACTTTGAAGCCTCTTACAATTAATACAGAATCGAGCATACCACAAGGAACCACCGATGGAAGAAAGTGAGTAATACCTTTGTAAATAATTTTCTCTTGAATGTTCCTATTTTTGTACAGTTGGCCATTAATTTGTTTTGGAGGTCAGACTCATATGTTTAGAGGAGTCACTTTTATACCAAGTTTTGGTGTGTGTGGATTAATTTTTAGTGTGGATGATGAGGGTGGATTAGTGTGAGTAATCCGTGTGCCTACCACATTTTTGGCGATGTCTTGGATTCCCATAAACACTCATTCTTGCATCATTGTACACAAAAAGCATTTTTGACTTAAATGTTGTGTTTGTGGCTGGAGCTTTAAATGCAGTATTAATGTCTAAATATGTATTTTGTTAGTTAAGGAGTTCCTAAAAAGGTAAACTTTAGGAGTTCTCTGAAATCTGTCTGCATTTCTGGGGTGGCCTTAATGGTCAACTTTGTCATTGATCAACCATCATGGTGCCCAACTACTTGGGCTGGACGGTAGAGGGACGATCTCGCTTCATGCAGGTCGACGTTCAATCTCTGGCCATTCCTTTTCCCTGTCCCACCATAACGCCTTATGATGGGATGGGGAAATGATCCCATCACCTTATCCTGATCCCTTCCCAGTGCTATATAGTTGTCATGGCTTGGTGCTTTCTCCTGATAGTTCCCTTACCTTCCCCAGAATTTATGTACTGGTACCCCAGGGGATCTGAGCATTTAATAATACTCGACATTCTAAAGAAACCTCATCAAAACGGTTGAAAAAAACAGCCACAAAAACTCAATGTGTAAAGTGAATTGTTTAGGATAAACAGATACGAACAAAAACTATCCCCAGTACTCAAAATACCAACTTGCTGCTTTCCCCTCCTGCCACCAGATGGCAACACTAGTCATCCAGGGGTCCAATGTGGCCACCATCATCACACAGTCGCTTGGTGCCGCTACCAACAGACACCAGAGGTACCAAGCCACTCACCAGCATCAGATGGAGCATAAGCAGTCCAGAGCTAGACAGTTACAGCTAAAGCAAGGTACAGTGGGGAGGTAGCGAGCAAGAAATGCAAGGTCTTCGCTGACAATGTCAGTGAAGTGAACTCCGATAAATGCTGGAGCAATATTGTTGCACGAGAGACAATAACTTGCATAAATGTTTAAAAGTATAGACTCCCTATGTGTGGACAAGTACTGCAAGTCCAAACGATGGCCAGTAAACTTACCTTAATTAATGCATAGGTCTGTCTTGCATTAATGCAAGGTGGACGCTTCCCTCTTAGAGTGGATTGGGCAGCTACTTGGTGATGGTCAGGGGGGTTAGTCAGATTAATGGACTTGGCCAATGTTTTGCTTGATGATTTGGTTTTTCTAACACTACCCTGTAGGTGGTCCAAAAAGCTTCATGACCTCAAGATAGTCACTAAGAGCCTGGCATATTCAGTGTTCTAATAATGTCAGTGACAAGGTAAGCAGAGTGACTTATGGGGCTAATCCCAGAATGAAGACACAAAAATCCCTAGATGCATCCTTATTTTTCCTATGTACTGTATCCTTAACCACGGCACTACGCTGCATTATAATATGACACCTCGTGGTGCACCGAAAAAATTATTTCCAATCAATTATTTTCTCCTATATTATTAACCCCTAGACCGTGCAATACATATACCTGTATAGCTGATGTGAGTAACTTTACCGATACCGCGCAATACATAAATAGCTGATTTAGTGTCTTGTGCTAGATTTTAAACGCCCGCGTGGGATAGGGGCAGCTATAGTCCAGCCACGACCGATAATTAACAGACGCCACCTAGAAAAAAAACGTGGGTAACATTTCCGGGTGTGAGAGCCTCAGTACTGACCGAGCCACCAAGGCTGGCGCACGCAGCATGAGCTCACAGCACCGCTGTTCAGCTTGTGACCACAGCATCGCCTAAAAATGTCAAAATATATACGTACATGCTTTTATTTAGCGATGATAGTATTACAGAAGACCCCCCTGACTGTAATATAACAGAAAGGATTCTGATAATAGCAGGATTGTGGTGATATTTAGCACTGTGCTTCATGGTGGGAGGAGAAATGCTGAGGGAGGGAGGGAGGTGGTGTCGTCGTCTTCTGACTGTGTGTGGCCACCTTTTATTGACTGGACTCACTATACCAGCTTAGTAGTTTGCTATGGTGAACACAAATGTAAATACTTATGTAAACGTGTGTATAGTGTGTAATAACAGCAATAGGAGTGTGTTTGGAGCCGCCATTTTGGTGAGGGAGGTGCATCATCTGCATGATATGTCATGTTTACTGGTGACCACTATGGTCTTTGGGCACCATATCAGCTTATTTGTACAGGTATGGTGAATAAAACATGTAGATACTTATATATAATGTGTGTATCTAGTGTAATAAGACTACAAACAGTATTGTTGGAGGAGAAATATTAGTGCATCTGGCCTAGAACCAGTGACGGCGGCCGCCACCAACTGTGTGTGTAGCTACATCTCTTATTGCCTGAACTCACCATACAAGCTTAGATGTACAGTTATGGTGAACAAAACATGTAGATACTTATATATAACTTCTGTGTATAGTGAATAAAAGCAAAAACAGTATGGTGTGAGGAGTATGTTGGTAAATGAAGAGGTGAGTAAGGGAGTGGTGGTGAGTGAAGGCCATTCTTCATTGCTTTTTGACTCACAATATCAACTTAGTGGTTCGCTATGGTGACCAAAACGTGCAGATACTTATATATAACCTGTGTATATAGTGTAATAATGGCAAAACTATTTGTTTATTGTTTTATGATCATAATAATTGAATCACTAATATGCACACCATAATTTTGAGTACAGCGATAGTTCACACTTTTATTATATATCACAATACACACTATTGAATAATATTACTGCAAAAAGCAAAGAAAAAATCAGACATTGAAATAATTAGGTAATAATATCTTTGTGGCAACTCCCGCCTGACAGCTGGGGCGGAGCAGACCTCATCTGGTGCCTGCTCTGTCAACGCCTCTTTTTCTGGGGGGAGCCCCTTCGGCTCCCCGGAGCTATCTAGGCTGAATGGATATGTTTAACTTTCTGGCATCAGTCAAAGTGCATGGAGTTCTTGCCTATCAGGGACCACGAGCCAGAACCTGGCCCCCCTCAGAGAGGCACGAGGTGCAATGGCCTATAGAAACCCCCATGTGGTTGCGAGCATTCTATGTCTGCCATCAACCGGGACAGGCACCCAGAAAAGTAGGCGCCCCAAAACACCCCTCCTATTCTGGTGAAAATGTTGCTACCGACAGCTGAACGAGTGGACAGAACTCCCCAAACAAAATTAGCTAACTAGCATGACGTTATCACATCGCCGCGCCGTCTGTGCAACCCCCCCCCCCCCCCTGGGAGCCGGTCGGCCGAGTTGGGGAGCCGGTCGGCCGAGTGGACAGCACGTTGGACTTGTGATCCTGTGGTCCTGGGTTCGATCCCAGGCGCCGGCGAGAAACAATGGGCAGAGTTTCTTTCACCCTATGCCCCTGTTATCTAGCAGTAAAATAGGAACCTGGGTGTTAGTCAGCTGTCACGGGCTGCTTCCTGGGGGTGGAGGCCTGGTCGACGACCGGGCCGCGGGGACACTAAAAAGCCCCGAAATCATCTCAAGATAACCTCAAGATAACCCTCCCCGGGAGGGGGAAGGGGAAGCTCCAGACCCTCCACGCCGGCGATCCAACTGGCAGTTCTTAGGTTGGATATCAAAACACATGAAAAACACCGCCGATAGGAGGGAGGGAGGGATGCTGGGGAGCCTCCGGGACTCGCTCAGAAAATGGCGTTTCATTACATTCAACGCTGGTTTTCTGGGCGGAGCCCCGTCGGCTCCCCAGAGCTACCTCACCACAGATAAGGAAATAGAGGGACGAAACCGGGAGTTGGACGCTACGCGCCATCTTTACCATCTTCTTCTCTGAGGAGTCTCACTCCTCAAACTTATTACAATTCAATGGAGATGGTGAGGATGAAAACATCATCCCTATACCAATCCCTAATATCATGTGCACTAAACCCAGAACATAGTGCACTAGTATCACGGATTGCCCTATGACTAGCAGAATCACGTAAGTGAGCAACTCTCGCAGCCATTGATGGCCCCCACAAGCATGCGTCATGGTGGCCTGATCGCCACTGGTTCAACAGCAAGTTTGAGAGTCCTCACACTCTTGGTCCCTGAACAACTTTCTATAACAAAATCTGTCACTATCACTCATTTCATCATCTATATTGCTATAAAAGTCTGCAGAATTTATTTCATCAATCTCAGCTTGCGATGCCAGAACACTTTTTCTTCACTTGCAAGAATCTGTTGGCAGAGGTGAGAGTCAGCCTTGGTTTTCAATTAGTAAATGATGGCCTGTGACCCTCCAATGTGTTTCTTGATTTTTCAAAGATGGTGGTCATGCTTGGGGGTGTATATGGGCACTTGACATCACTGTAGTCACTGTGGGAGTTTTAAATTTAATTTGGTTTTGGTACGTGCTATCATTTGAGAAAGACAGGTGTGGAAAAAATGCCGTGATTGTTTTATGAGGAGAACAACTTTCCCCAATATCTAGAGCTATGACTGGTGATATAAGATAAGTTTGTGCGTAAAGTCTTGCTTGTATAATGCAGACGAGGAGTCACAATAACGTGGCTGAAATATGTAGACCAAACCACACACTAGAAAGTGAAGGGATGACGACGTTACGGTTTGTCCTGGACCATTCTCAAGTTGATTGTGACTTGATTGCTTGTATAACGTCAAAGCACTACACACGTGATTGCACTCGATGGAAACAAAATGTTCTGGCTTCGGGCGCTGCTCAGGATGCTTGATCTTTGAGCAGGCCCTTCCTTCCTCATCTGGCAGGGAGGCCTATAAGTAATATTGATTAAATATTTTTATAGTCTAGACAGATTGAGATAAAATGTGATTATAATATAATAAGGTATAGGATTTGAAGATTATTAGTAGTACTTGATAGTAACATTGATTCTTATTAAGAATTTGATTTAATCCTCACCAGAAATTGATTGATGTTCCAATTGTTTTTTAATGAATTAAGTTTTTCTCGAGCCTTCTAGATCCTTGAGAAATCATGCACAAAGTCACGTAGGCACATATGGGCCCAATGGCGTACTTGATCAAGGTGGCATTGTCGTGTAGGATCTAGATATAGGATATAATGAATCTGATGTGATTCTGATATGATATAGATATAATACATTTCTTAGATAATAATATATAGGGGTAACATTTCCCACAACGGGAGCAGTTTGAGGGATAGTGTCAAAGAACTCCTCAAGCATGCTATATGAATATGACTGTGCCATTCTTTGGTAATGCTATTTTCTGTAATGTATTAAGGCTATACAGATTTCATAATTTTGATCACATGTGTATTTGTTTATATTTAATTTTTGTATTTTTAAATATTGTATATACATGAAGTGATTTTGATAAGAGTACATGAAATTTTCGTAATTTAATTACTGCTTTTTCTTGTAGGGAAGGTCCTGTTACTCCTACTGGAACTAAACCTTCAACAAGTGGGATGCAGCGTCCTGTATTTAAAAAGCAGCGTAGTAAGTGTGAGAACAAGATTGTTAGCCCAGTCATACCTCAGCCAGGAGGAGAGCGTAAAAGACACCCCAGTTATTCCAGACATTATGCTGAGAGGCCACACCTTAGTCAACAGAACCTACAGCCTCCAAAGAAGTTTAATCCCAAGAATGAACTATTTCAGTATGGAAATTACAACAAATATTATGGCTATAGAAATCCTGATCAGACACCAGATGTTCGTCTTGAAAGTCTGAAGCGGGAGTGGTTTGAGGGAAAGGAAGTATTGGACATTGGTTGCAACATAGGTCATGTTACACTGACAATTGCCAGAGACTATAATCCTAAGAGAGTGGTTGGTATTGATATTGATAAAAAACTTGTCAGTATTGCAGAGAAAAACATTAAGCACTATATGTGTAAAGGAGATACAGAAGAAGCAAACTTTCCTAAATCATTGCGACTTCTTTATGGAACGCTAAAACCTCCTGTTAGAGCTGATGGAACTCGAACTTTTCCCTACAATGTTAAGTTTGTTCACGTAAGTGGAAGCATGTGTTTTGTTTTGGTAAATAATTGAAATTGTTCTAAATATTTTATTATGTTTATAAAAGGAATGTATAATATGACCTTGGAAAAAATCTGTACTGTACTCTTATTTCAGTACCCTTCTGGAGTTATTAATCTTCTGGATTTAATTTGTTTATTATTTTTAGTGCAAATCATATTAAACATGCTTACACATAGATACATTCATCATAACATTTAGTTGTTAAAATATAACACAACATTACTTTGTACTTGTCTCTATGAAGGCCCTATTTTCTGGGAGATCCTCTTGGTGGCGCCATGAGCTACCTACCTGGTAACCTCCAACCTTTATGCACCACAGTAACTGTGCTCATGTTTTAAAGCTAAATATCGGAGGAATACAAATCTTAAAGCTATGTTTAAGCGGAAATTTGATTTGGCTTCATTAACTGGCGATGGTCGCATTATAGTGCAGGGTGTTCTGTTTTTCATTTCATGCAATCTTGGCCTAGCTTGGATACCCCGGATTTGGAGCCTCTGCTCATTATTGACAAGGAGATAGAGTACTTGGTCATATGGACTTCTTTGAAGTTTTCATTTCCTTGTACTTTATTCCATTTGGGTATCACGTAATGGTAATGAAGCCTGTGAAGGTTCCATCACCATTGTGCAAAAGCCCAATGCAAGATGTAGTTACTTTTCTAGATTTTGAATAGAAAAAGTATTTTCGATTCTTCTGTTTTCACTTACGACCTTTTGCTCTCTCTGCCTCTCTGGGATTTTATGATTCTCGTTATGTTAGCATGATTGTTTCTATTTCTCTACATAATCTTCTTTCTCGTTCTTTGGACAGTGGATTGTTAGAGATGTTCTGCAATTTTTTGTCGTCTTTTCGTTCTCATTCCAGTTTACATCTTTCTCCTCAGTGATGTGTGACTTCCACATAGTTCTAGTGCCATTGTTCCCAACTTTGCAAGGCACTGGTTTAAGTTTTCATTATCCAGCTGTCTTTCCAAGCATATTCCTGTCTTCTAACTTTAACATAATTTAACACCACTAGTCTCTCCTTGTGGCTCTGGTTTTTCAGTTGAGGAAGCCATTTAGAAGCATGTCATTGCAGCCTTTTCAGTACTGTATATTGATATGAAGCTTGAGATATGGGCACCCCATACAAGTGCATATTCCAATTTTGGTCTTGCAAAGGCCATGAACAGTTTCTTGAACATTTCACCATCTGTTATGAAGTTAGAAAGAGTAGCATAGGCTCCTTGTACAATGTCCTTTATGTGATCCTTTGGTGATGACTTACTATCCAGAACCTCTCCTAGACCTCTTTCTTTGTCCGAGTTCTTTAATGTCTTTTCACTTCATTTGTAGGATGTGTGGGGCCTGTTATCAACTACTCCATATTCCTTAATGAGGCATTTATTCACATTAAATTCCATGTACAAAGTGGTCCTCCATGCACTTATTTTGTCTAGGTTCTTTTGAATTGCATAACAATCTTCCAAGTCTCTTGTCTTCCCTAGCAGCTTAGCAACATCAGCAAACATGTTCATATACTTCTGTATCCCCCTCAAGTGGATCATTACATAACCCCAGTGAATATTACTGGTGCTAGAACTGAACCTTGTGGTACTCTACTACTGTAGTAACACTTCTCCAATCTGATACATTACCTCTGATTACTGCCCACATCTTTACATGAAATTTGGTAGGGTGTTTAGAGTACATAAAGTAACATATTTATGCAAAATTTTAGCCTTCAGTGATGCATGATATTCATACATCAGGGTTGCCAGTAATAAAAAATACAACATGTATAAGATAAAAAAAAATGTGCTTCTAATTGAGGTAGATCCTTCATGATATGTTTGTTTTGAAACTGAGGAAACATTTTATTAAAAATAGGTTTACGTTACATATTGAATTTTTCATTTCAAGTTGACGTGATGTGACCTTTGACCTTGAATATACAAAAATGGTATATTAAATATTTTGGAAAACAAAAATTTTATATTGCTGAATACATTCTCACTTTGGTATGTTTCATTTTGTGATAGCTTTGGAAACAGAAGTAAAAACTAAAAAAGCAACTGAAGTATAGGTGTGTAGAAGTACATCATTTCATGTGCCACACCTGGTGCAAGAAATGGTGTCTGTGTACAAATGAAAAGACCCTTGGAAGTACACAGATGTACTTCCCAAGAGAAGTGTGGGTACTTCTCAGCAGATTTTCAAAAATAATAAATTTTTTTACATTAAATCCAGATGCACATCTAGCTCTGAATTTACTAATAAATTCTCTGAGCAGTTATCAATACTGACATGTGGATAATGGCATCGTGTATTCAGAATTGGATTAAGCTTAAACTTTTTTATTTATTAATTTATACTGTGTATATGTATGTGTGTGTACTCACCTAATTGTGCTTGCGGGGATTGAGCTCTGGCTCTTTGGTCCCGCCTCTCAACCGTCAATCGACTTGTGTACAGATTCCTGAGCCTACTGGGCTGTGTGTGTGTGTGTATAAATAGCAATAGGAGCTAGCTAGCTCTATTATTTAACAAATTTTGCTCTTTTTGAAAATTTTCGTTTGGCATCATTGCTTCTCACTCTTGCTAGAGTTACCATGGTGTGGAAAAGTGGTGCAAATGGACTGGTACAATATACCTGGACAGATGCACCTGTAAGTAGTGAGAACTTGATAAGTGTGTGACAATGCATAAGAAGTACATAGACACACAGTGCTGCACCCCACTTGATATTAAAGAGCACAGCAATAGTAGAAAACAATTAAGATGCTAATATGGACGACAGTAAAACTGTCACGTGTTGAGTACAGTAGTGAACAAATATGTGAGAACTATAGGACAAAATAAATGGGATTCAATTAGTAAAGAAAGGCCAAGCACACATATCAGTTGATGAAGAAAGAACATTATTTACACGTGTCAATGAGAAATAATGGAAATGAGAAATTGTCACACAGGTAACATGAAGAAGCTAGGGCCAGGACTCGGACATTTCATGCTGTCATACCAGGAACATGGGATGAATTAATAATAGAGGCTTTCTACAGAAACAACTAGTGAAGTGCAGTAAACAAATATCCCATGAAACATTGTTTCTGAAAGAAATACTGTAAAAGGTTTTGTGACTTGTATCTATAATGATGCCTGGCTAGGTTGTCATGAATGTGAATGCAATGTCATAGGATGATTAGATCAGTTTCCTACATCCCAGTATGTCGTAGGATGTTTAGATCAGTTTCCTACATCCCAGTATGTCGTAGGATGTTTAGATCAGTTTCCTACATCCCAGTATGTCGTAGGATGTTTAGATCAGTTTCCTACATCCCAGTATGTTGTAGGATGTTTAGATCAGTTTCCTACATCCCAGCGGCCCATCCCTATCATGTGTGTATTCTCACCAGCCAAACTATATTGAACATTTTGAATGAACAAGTTCTCGCTAAAGTTGATCCTACAACTGTGCAAACTTAGACTTTAGGTAACCTCAAGATTTACCTGCTGTAGAAGTACTGAAGAGGAGGCACTAAATTATGATTTTAAGTTTTCCTCTAAGTTGTATCTGGCAGTATATTTCATTCTTCAGTATAGTAATTTACACAAATTATATTTAAGGTATTTCATTGCATGTGTAGTATCTTACTTTCATGATTTTTTGTGCCTGTTCCCAAAACCATGCCAAAATGTAACTTATTCCAAAGAGAGAATGTATTAAACTGTATATATATAGATACACTTTATATTCATGGTCACATCATGTGATTTTGAAATTAAAAAAAAATTATATTTAAGGTTAATAATATTTTTAAAATATACTTTATTAGTTGGGTTTTATTGCTACAAAATTGGCAAAACTTAATATTAACATTTGATGACTTTCAGGCCAATTATGTTTTGGAGTCTGATGAATTGTTGGAAACGGTGCGGCCAGAGTTTGATATGATCCTGTGCTTAAGCATTACAAAATGGGTTCATCTTAACTGGGGAGACTCTGGCCTCAAGAGATTCTTTCGTCGCATTTTTCACAATCTCAAGCCTGGTGGTAGACTTATTCTTGAACCCCAAGGCTGGCCATCATACAACAAGCGAAGGAAACTAACGGTAATGTACCATTTACTTTACTGTTTGTGTATGTTGACCAGACCCCACACTAGAAATTGAAGGGACGACGACGTTTCGGTCTGTCCTGGACCATTCTCAAGTCGATTGTGTGACTCACACAATCGACTTGAGAATGGTCCAGGACGGACCGAAACGTCGTCGTCCCTTCAATTTCTAGTGTGTGGTCTGGTCAACATACTTCAGCCACGTTATTGTGACTCATCGCCTGTTTGTGTATGTGTGCACAGTATCGAGCTTCAGTTCTTGGTGTTCACTGTCTTGTGTAGGTATGTGTGTATGCAGTTAATTTGTGTGTAATTGTTTGTATAATTGTAAGACAAGAGCTTCACTTTTTGGTATCATGTCTTCCTTATATTGTATTCTGTCATATGGAGTTTTAAAGCTTCTTATTGTATTGGCACACTATCCTCTTAATGTATAACATGTCATTCTGTTTGCAAAAGAGAATTTTCATGTTTTTATAAAGCCAATGCTTTCATCATGTAGCCAGGTGTTCTTGATGTTGTTGATTTAAACCCTAATGTGTTATCAATATCCCCCTCCCCCCATTCTAAAAAAATTAGAATGATAAATTTGGATGCAAAATATAAAGAAAATGTTAATTTTTCTTTGGCTTTGCAGGGTGCCCCTTGGGTTTTCTTGTTTTTGGACTTTGTTTTCATTGGGGCATTCTCATTTGCCATTTCAGGTCCTTTTGGCTTGTTCGGCTTTTTGGGCTTTTTATACAGGGCCTTGTTCTGCTTTATGAAGGTTGTGGTTATGTCAGCCTGTCTTGACAAATGACTGTTTTGAGTACCCAAACCAGTCTGCAAGCAAGGGATCTAGTACTTTCCCCACTCATTGTGTTCAGGTTGCTGGTGAACTGGCAGATTTCAAGGTTGGTTCTGTTGCTGGCTCAAATATGATTTGGCCTGGTCTGTGATTCTCAGCTTCTCTTTCCGTGCTACTAGCAGTTCTATTCTATTTGTGCCATGCATCTCTGGAGGCTCCCTTTTGCTAGCTGCTTATCTGTTGAGTTACACCAACCTCTTGAGAGTCGATAAAAGCCTACCAGATCAAAGGTAAAACCTGGCTTCCTCAAAGAGGCACAGAAAGCTTTTATGACTCACAAGGGCCTGGTGTGACTTAATAGGCATAGGGAGCTTCAAAGATCCCTCCAAAAAGTGGAGTTTCATTAGTCAACACTAGATTTTTGTGTAGTCGACAGAGACTTAAAAGATAAATACATACAGTATTTTATTTTTTAAGTTGTATGATTTCTTTGCAGTAAAGCTGAAAATGTAGCTAAAAAAAAAAATACTTTTTTATGACATTAACCCCTGCACTGTGCACTACAACCAGGGTTGTTTTTGGCTTATAGTATAATAAAACATAAAACTCTCATGCACACAAGGAGCTAACATTTGCTTCCTCAGGCCTCCAGTAACATCCCTCACCCCCATCTTGAACAAAAAAATCCCAAGGTCCTCACTATCCTTCTAGGTCCTTTGTAAACAGATGGGGACCATGTCTGGCACATCACATCTAGTGTTTGAATGTGTAGGGTGGCCATATTAGGAAGTATTGAACCATTAACACCAGCAGATGAGTGATTACCATGCACATAGTATTCATTTGTGCCTGTAAATATGTGTGTGTAAATTATAAGATTTAGGCTTAGTTAGGTTTATATATATGAAAATAATAACCCACTATTTTAAAAACATGAGAAATTGTAGACACTACAGGTATTTTTATCCCAACCCCGGGATCCTCTTCAGCAGTGAGCGATAATAATGACTGGAGCTACTTCTATGCTCTCAAGTCAGGTGTAAGCACTGGATAATAATCTCCTTGTTACATAATCACTCACCAAATCTGGTAACCTGAGGAAATAATTAAAATTTGGATTATTGTTTATAAAAGTATATTTTATTTTTTTCACTTTGAAGCCACAGTGTTGGGGATAAATTGTACAAGAATTATCACATAATTTTGTGGTCAGTCTCGCTTACATATTTAAATAAAGCTGAGCTTTCTTGGCCATGTCTAACAGACCTCTTGTGTTCGGTGATGCAGGTTTTTAGATCCGTGCCTGTTTGGCAAGGATCTAAAAATCTGCATCATCGAACACAAATGCAGGAGTTAATATAACATTGAAAAATATAGTTCAACACGCTTTGAGTGGAAATTAATGACCTTAAAGAATTTTAAATATTGAAAACTGCACAGTAAAATACATTTACCTACTGCTAATTTATAGTGTCTTTTTATTGCAGAAGCGAATATTTGAAAATTATAAAAACATCCGCTTGTTCCCTGATAAGTTTAATGACTTCTTACTACACGAAGTGGGGTTTAGCACAAGTGAAAAAATAACCACGCCCCACCATGTATCTCGTGGCTTCCAGAGGCCAATTATCATCTATACCAAGGTAAGGTTGTAATGCAAAGTAGCTGAAGGCTCCCTGTAGTTAAAACTGTGTAAATTACAATTTTATGTACATCAGAACACTTTACTCTAGCTAGCCAGTTAGCTATCTTTACCTGTAGTTTATCTCTAGTCAGATTTGAGAGTTCTTTGCTCTAAGCCTGTTTGCAGCAGCCTGCAAACCTACATATTCATCACAGTCCAGATGATCTGGCACTTCCTGCAGGCATTTGTCCAAATGCATGTTGAAAGTGTCCACTTTTATTGTTGTCATATTTCATGTATACAGTACAACCTCAATTCGGTGAACTATATGGGACCAACCCTTATTTGTTGGAGTGAGTTTTTAGTTGCAACCATAGATACCTTCAGGAGGCATTTGTGTGCTTTTATAATACATATATATATATATATATATATATATATGTATGTATGTATATTATATATATATATATATATATATATATATATATATATATATATATATATATATATATATATATATATATATATATATATATAATATAATATAAACAAAAGTACATTGTTATCCCTGTTTCTTTTTGTTTCATTCGTCTAAAAAAATGAACATGTGATTGGAACAATAAAAGTTACCATTCATACCCTAATATTTCCCACGTTCTACGAGTTAATTTCTCTGAGCGAAGTTTTAATTTCACACAACTAGTAGGAGAATCTGTCTGTAAAGAGATCTAACCACATCTAGCATATTTCCTATTCCCCAGCCTCAAAATCTCATTTCCATAGGTCATATAGGGCCCATATTTAAGCGAACAAAAACTGCGGCAACTCAAAAGGAAAATGAAACATAGAATTTTGTTTTAAATATGCTCAAAGGCTTTCCCAAATCTTCAACTATTTTTTTTTTTACTCAATCTATGAAAATCATTAATAATGTGATTGGAACCATAGTAAGAGTTACCATTCATACCCTAATCATTTCCCACACACTATGGGCTAGTTTCGCTAAGGAAAGTTTTAATTTCAACCTATCATATGACATAACTTTCCCCCAGGTCTGTGAACTTTGGTCTTGCTTCCTAAACAAATCCATACATCCCCTGCTTTGCTGAATCTCCAAACACTCATGTGGTGAAGTGGGTGAGTAAATCAGGCGTGGAATGTGAGAGTTACAACTGGAGATTTTCCAAAACAAGGTTTGGTGAATTGAGGCTGCACTGTATGATGAAAGTAGTTTAAAATCTTTGGGCATTGCTGTTCATATGGTGTTCTCTGATTGTGTCACTTTTACTAGGTAGCTTGCCTGCTAGCCATACTGTTCAGTTTTTAGAGTCGTGTATTTGTCAATACATGACAGTGTATGGGGTCTGCAGACAAAAATAACTATTATTTTCTAGATATTGTACATTATATATATTATTACAAATGCATTGTATGTGTTTTTATAATGTGTGCATTTAAAGAAGCTAAAAAGCAAGCATTAAATATAATGAAAACCCCCCTATTCTAGTGTGGCCCTTGGTAGCTCCCAGTGTTTAGTGCTGGTCCTGCTGAGCCTTATGGCTCAGGGAGTTGCACCAGGCTCTTGTGATGCACCTTCCTAACAGATGCCATGACTACAATCTGGCTCTCCCAATAAGGTGAGGGGAATTTGGGGACCAAAGATTAACTCAATACTGAAAATCTAGAAACTATAGGCTTAACAAAATGAGCAATTGTGTGAAGGAAATTTTATATCTGAAAGTAATGAGACGAGTGATCATTACCAAGAGGTAAATGCCTTTACTGTGATGCACCTGACAGTTACCAGGTCACAGCCAAGGTCACCTCAGGCTCCAGCCAGCTGTCCTCTCATTCATGAGTCACAAAAATTCCCCACCCTACAGAGGAAGCCCAAATTCATGTTAATAATTAAAGAATAATCAGCAAAGATACAAATAAGGCCAGAGCTTTCAACTGGGAGATGAGGAAATGAAGTATGTTAAAGTTAACAGGAGCAACTGAATTTAACCCTTAAACTGAGCATGGCATATACAGTATACTGTACATACGACCAGAGTAACATGTCCCACCGTGCGCATAGCATACATATACAACGTAGGGTACCGACTACGATTCAAATGGCCCACAACTAAATGGAGTTCACATCGGCTTCCTCAGGGCTCTTGTCAACAGACGCCATGTTTAAAAAAAATCGTGGCCAATGTTGTCGGGTGTGAGAGCTACAGTACTGTACTGTGTGAGCAACCAAGGCTGGCACACACAGCATGAGTTAACAGCACTGCTGTTTAGCTTGTGACCACAGCATCGCCTAAAAAATATGAAAATGGTGCCTGCGTGTCTGTTCTTGTTAACGAGTTTGGTATTCTCGTAAGAAAAGCATCACTAATGCGTTTGAAAAGAATAATTGCAGTGTGATTATATATGACAGCATATTCTGTATTAACTATTTTCTAATTTAGGGCTTCTATCCCTCTTACTAGTGTTCTTGCATCAAGGTTCAGCTAGAAGAGGAGTTCACCAAAAGTCATGTTTGTAACATGACTTTTGGTGAACTCCTCTCTGCACATCTTTTTTGTTTTGGTAGGGACGCGAGTCTTATTTTCCTCGATGTCACCCCTTTTATATAAAAGGAACCATCGGAAATGCATCCGAGGTGCCGTGTGGCTTGTTGCCTCCTCGTGGGTGGAGAGAGGCGAGACCACAGTATTTTTGTTCAGCCTTCCCATGACATGGAAGAAAGTTGGTGCTCTGTTCCCATGCACACAGACTGATCGATAGCTGACTCGATGTGCAGTTCATGTGCAGAGAGGAGTCATGTTTGTAACATGACTTTTGGTGAACTCCTCTTCCAGCTGAACCTTGATGCAAGAACACTAGTAAGAGGGATAGAAGCCCTAAATCAGAAAATAGTTAATACGGAATATGCTATCATATATAATCGCACTGCAATTATTCTTTTTAAATGCATCAGTGATGCTTTTCTTACGAGAATACCAAATTTGTTAACAAGAACAGACATGAGGGCACCACTTTCATATTTTGCCATGAGTTCTCTTCATTCTATCTCGACATCTTCTACATAGAACTGTCATTGTTCTTTTGAAATTATTTGTTCATTTGGCTCTTATTTCTAAATTTGAGGTACCATGGTGACTTATTGATGCAAAGAATATAGAAAATATACAAGAAAACATGAAAAAGTTTACATTGAAGTTTAGTGGGTTGTGCACTGAACGACTACTATTGGAAAACTGTCACATGTTATGCATATTTATATTCGAGCACACGGTTTACTACAAGGCACGAACACAGCATTAGTGCTGAATAGTTGGGAGCCATTCGAGTACTGAAGTTCCTCTGTATATGTTCATATATTATCAGGCTTCCTGTCCCTGATAAAATGAATTAAGAGTACATATTGTAATGCATATTAGCTTTCATGTGTGCATTGGATGTAATTAGACAACTGCATTGATAAACATTTTATTAGGAAATTAAATATTGGCATAAAGTGAAAATTTTATATGTATGTGATGGTCCTTGGCAGATTATTAGTTTTCAAATAATTATTATTTTGAATTTTTACAGACTGGAGGGAGTACTAAGTCGAGCCCTGTTGGAGAAGGTGGATCTAAGGATGCCAACATCAAGAAGATCAACAAATCAAATGAAATTATACCAGAAGTACTATCTAAAGTGGAAAATATAAAGCCCAAAGAAGTGCATGAAAATGTGATGGTGGATTCTAATGCAGAAAATAACTTCATAAAGAATACTGATCAGAATAATGAACACACAAATATGGAGAAAAGCATATCAGTAATAATGAGTGAAGTAAAAATATTGGCAAACAATGGGAAGACATTGTTTGAAGCACCTGGAAAGATGGATAAATGTGACCAAGGTGTGATTTTATTTAGAGATAGAGAAGCCCCATACAAACCTGTGATGCACAGTGCAACTCGGTCAGAACCCACTGTAAAAGTACCTGAATACCAAACATTTGGAGTGAAAAAAGGTAAGGAAGTAGTGTCAGAGGGACAGGAGGACTCCAGCAGTGTAGAGGATACGCATTTCTGTGATACTAGAGTTATAAGAGAATTAGTAAGTGAAGTTAGTTGTAAGAGACATTCCTCCAGTGATACACAAAATGTTAATAGAATATGTGAAATGCCTTATTCGTCATTAAGTAACATTAAGGACAAAAGTGATAACTTCCCTGTTGAGTCTACCAACAAATGTGAGCCATGTGCAAGTTGTAATACAATCTCGGAGACATCTTCAGGTAAAGATGTAGACAAGGAAAAATGTGCAGCTACAAATAGATCTGAAAAAGTCAGAACTATTTTACCTGCAGACACTATTATTGGAAAAGATTATGTGAAATGTGAAGATACAAAGACTAAAGCAAGACTGAAACAGGAAGGCAACAATTTGCTTTGTGAAATGACAAATAAGACGTGCTGTGACTCTGCAGTTTCACAAATGGAGAACTCGAAAAAAGATGAAACGAAAAGCAACAGTGCAACTACTATCGAGCCAAGTGTTAAAATGATTCCAGCATCCTCATCTCCACAAAAGAATGTTTTAGAACCAGACATATTGACCCCACTCAAACGTCACTGTGCTAGCATAACTGAAGAACAGGATGAAATAGAGGATCCCAATAAAAAGCAAAGACTGGAAAATCAATAAATCAGAATTGACGATGCGAAACATAATTAGCCAAATTTGTAGGTTGCATATTTGATTGACTTTACAAGGAAACACAAAAGGATACAGGCTAGATTTTACTTGATTGAAAAAAATGTGACTGATGTGTTTAGTAATTGTACAAAACTCTATGCTAATACAATTTTAATTAATGAATACCATAGTTTTAATTGGCACTATGTAATTTAGATAATGACATACAATGTATGTCTGGTAATTAAATTCATAATTCAATCCCAATTCATGTGGAGGCTCTATGGGTATACTAACTAACTGTAGTATTTATGTCCATGTGATGGAAAAGTATTAACTTTAAATACTGACTTTGTTGCACAGTTGAAGCGGTATTATATTAAGTAAACAAATAGATAACTTCAGTTACTGCACTATTATAGACAAATTGTTTACATATCCATAGTCACGGTGTTATTCATTTAACACTGGATCAAACTCTTACAAATTACGTCTGAATTTGGTCGGTTGCCTGTATGGGAGAAAATGGACGTAATTTGAAAATGAAAAAATATACAAGTAAATTTTGGATTGTTTCCCCACAACAGTAAGTTAATTTAAGGGTCTTCTGGTAGGTTAGGAGGGCAGGAAATTCTCAAGTTTCAACGTCATGGAAAACGTTAATTGAAAGTTTCCTCTCCTAACCTTTCCGAATAAGCCGGAGAACTCAAATAGAAAACAGGACAGTACATCACTTTCGTGAGTCGATTTCATTTCAAATTGCATCCATTTTTGGCCATAGTGCGCATACGAGTGAAAAGGGACAATATTTTTAAGAGGATGGGTTGCTGGATCATACTTAATTGTCATCGATCAAATGCTGTTCACAGAACAAATACCTGAACAACATTTGAACAAAGCACAAATTTAATTTTTTGTTGGCAGGTCTTATTGCAATAGGCAATTTATTTTTTTTTAAGGTGAAAATTGGCTCAATTAAAATACAGTAATGTAAATAAAGATGAGGAATTCCAGAATGTTGAGATTAAATACTGACAGTGTGTAATGCTCATAACCAAGCTCATTGTGGATTGGAGTTTAAATCTGTTACCCCTACAAAACTAAAGCTGGAAGTGGTAAAAGATTTTAAGGGAAGAAAGATTGATGTGTTTGTTAGGATTATGTGGGACATAATATTCCTCCCTCTCTGGTAAGGAGGAAAGAATAGAGGAATGGAGTAAATCACTTCATAGAGTTGAGAAGTTAGGAACAATCATGTCTGGAGTTATAGCTTCTTATTGCAGTTCAAGGTGTTTGTGCAATATTTTGAAAGAGTAAAATTGGCAAGTGTTAATGTATATGACCTTTGTGATGACAATAATGAGATTATAGTCCCTGGGCACTTTAGAATAACTGATTTAAATTGTAAATTGGGAATGGGCAAGGAAAGCAACATAATGGATAAGTAATTATCTAAATACTGCCAAACCGGGAAAACACAGTAGTGCTGAATATCACTAGAGATGCCAGTATAGACAGACATAATAGAGATATTAAAGTTACTTGACTTGACAAGGATTCTAATGAACAAATTGCCCTGTAGGGACATTAAGAAAGCAAGATATGAAATTAAACATTATACAAGGAGGCCGCTTCTCCTACTCTTCGCCGTCTTGATGCTTTGCACCATACTGGGTTGCGCCTCAGTTCTGGTGCCTTTCGTTAGACTCCCGTCCTCAGCTTGTATGTTGACACTGGCTTCCTATCTCTCCAGGACCGCCGTGATCGCTACTGTCTTCGTTACCTTGCGCGGTCCTTGCAACATCCTTCCTCTCGCCTCTGTCGTGCTTTAACTTTTACCCCTCCTGCGGTTCCTGTTCCTCTTCACCACCTCACTCTGTCCGGTTATCTCACTTACAGGATTCTTTCAGTTCGTATTTCTAATATTTCTCGTGTTGTTCCTTCTTTGACCCCGTGGAGAGTTCCCCTTCCGCAGTTTTGTACATCCTTGATCCGCATCACTAAAGCTTTTACCCCTCCTACGGTTCTAAAATGCCTTTTTCTTAAGCACTTCTCACTCCCGCTCCGTTTGTCTTCACCGATGGGTCCAAGTCTGCGGACGGTGTTGGCTACTCTGTTGTTTTTCCTGATCGCACATATGTGTCGCTTACCTCCAGAGACTAGCATTTTCACAGCGGAGCTTTATGCTATTCATTATGCTCTTCGTCTCCTGCTTTCTCGTTGTCAATCTTCTTTGTAATTGTTGACTCTCGTAGTGCCCTCATGGCTCTCGGGTCCTTTAATCCGGTTCATCCAATGGCTGTCGAGATACAGCATTGGTCGTTTCTTGTTCACAGTAAATTCAAGTCAGTTGAGTTTTATTGGGTTCCCAGGCATATTGGTGTCTTTAAATGAGCATGCGGATGGTGCCGCTAGGGAAGCTGTCCGCTCTTGCCCCATCTCTCGTAAAGATGTTCCTTATTCCGACTTTTACCTGGTTATCCATTCCTCCATCCTTACCCGTTGGTCGTCTGTTACTGGTAACAAACTACGTACTCTTAAAAGTTGTGTGTCCTCGTGGCCGTCCTCCTACCACTGTAACCAGCAATGGGAAACAGCTCTGGCAAGGTTGCGTATTGGCCATACTCGCCTAACACATGGCAACTTGATGGAGCGCCGCCCTGCTCCTTATTGTCCTAATTGCATTGTCCCTCTTACGGCCATGCATATCCTTGTTGAATGTCCTGACTTTCGGAACGAGCGTGTCTTGTTTTCCGACCGTCCCCCGCGGTCACTTGATAGTATTCTTGGTGACTCGGATACTTTTGATATCGTTCGCCTTATGCGTTTCTGTTCTCGTATTGGCATCCTTGGTGATATTTAGCGCCCTCTGATTATCCCGCACATTTGATGGTGCTACATAGCCTTCCCGGTTTGGTGCCTTCTTTTGATAATTACTTACTTATACAAGGAGGCGCATGACTACGAGGGACAGAACAGCTACAAGAAAACACAAATTAAATATACAAGGCAAAGAAAAGGGCACAGCATTAGGCAAGATCAGGTGCATAGTCAAAGTCAACAGAGATGGTAGAGTTGAGAGGGCTATGGTAAGAAGCATAGGCAAGTTGACAAAGTCCAGTGAGGAAGGAGGGGTGGTCTCCGGATAAGGGGACAAACAACAACGTGCTCTAAAGCAATGGACACGCCCATATATGGGGTCAGATGGCTTTTCTACAGAGATGGGAGAAGGTGCAAGAACAAGAATGGAAGGACCAATGCCTTCTTACCTGGCAGAGAGGATGAGGGAAAACTACTGGGTCTCCGTTATTGAGAGAGGGATGTGGTAATGTAGAGTTACTCAGAGATAGCTGCTATAGTCTCTGGCAAGGCAACCCATCCTCCGAATTGATAGTATGTTTTAATACTAAGTGTAATAAGTACATTTTCTGACTGCCATACATAGTACATAATTGCACTTATGAGACTTACATTTACCTCCATATTTATTCTCTTCATTTTCTTTTAAGACACTCAATTTTAGGATGAAGTTTTAAAGTTGTTTGCTATATTCAAGTTTTAAATATCAGGAATTTCTTTTTCAGTTTTATTAAACAATAGAGATTTTGTACAAAATTTGAAAATATCCTGAGTTACTTTACAATTTATTGAAATATTTTAGTTTTGTTTTATTTGTTTTATAAAACTGTAATATCAATATAGCTATAGATAAAGTAATAGTTGTGATTAAGAAGCAATGAAAATGCTCATCTTCAAAAACTAAGACAGTTAGGTTAGGTCGTGGTTTTCTATTCAGTTTTTCAGGTAAACTCAAATATTGACAATATATTTGAAAGTATGGTTTAATACTAAGTGAAAGTACAATTCCTGATTGTCATACATAGTACATAATTGCACTTATGGGGCTGTTACATTTAACTCCCCATTTTTGGAGGACGGGCTGGGCAAGGAGGGAGAATAAGAAGGGGTTGTCAAGCGTGGAGGGTAGATATCAGCTTGGAAGGTCATATATTTGGGAGGACTTGAGAATGAAGATGGGATGGAGTCAGGGGTCTACAGAGGATAAAAAGGCAGAGGTGTGACATAATAGGTGTGTACGGGGAGACGGGGTATCTCCCCGTGCTCGTCATTTTCATCAAAAGAAGGCACCAAACCAGGAATATTATGTAGTTCCATCAGTGTTGATGGATATTCAAAACATTCTAAATATCACCTAGGATGTCAGTACAAGAACAAAAGGCCATAAGGCAAGTGACAAGATACCTGCTTGATGGGGTTCTGGGAGTAGTTGTTCTCCCCAAGCTCAGCCCGAGGCCAGGCACAGGCCTCGGGCACTGGATATGAATGGTATTTGTTTCCTCGAGGGACATTAGGAAAGCTAGACTGACAATAGGCCTGAAAATTGGGACCTTCTACAAGGTGCACAACTAAATGGGACAATAAGGAGCAGGGCAGTGTTCCATTAAGTGCCCATGAGCATTCATGGCTAATACGTAATCTAGCCAGAGCTGTTTCCCGTCTATTATAATGGTAGGAGGAAAGCCAAGGGGATAGGTTGTCTTTTAAGAGAGTGCACTTTGTTACCTGTACCACCAGAGGTAACAGATTGAGAAATGAATGAATGCCTTTTTTGGGGAAGAGGACAAGTGCTGATGGCATCCTTAGCAGCAGTGTCTGCATGTTCATTTAAGGCAAAACCAACATGGCTGGAACCCAGCAATACTCAACTGTCTTGAACCTGCTAGAGATAAACAGCCAATATTGAATTTCGACTAGCACAGGCTGCAAAGAGTTAAATAAATGACTCCAAAGCCATGAGGCCACTGCAAGAGTCAACCACAATGACAAAACAACATTGAAATCAGAAAAGCAGTTGACAGCATACAAAATTGCATAAATTTCTGCCATGAAATTGCTATTTTCTGGCAGTTAGCTGACATACTGTCTAAGCTCACTTATCTGGATGGTATGAGAAGGATCTATCACTGGATAAGCAGAATTTACTGCAACAATCCAAAAATGTCCATATTCACATTTTTTTGTACAACATAATTCAAGCTTCCACCCATGCACAATAAATACAAAATTTAATTTAAAACAAACTTCAACTTACCTTGTTGTAGTTTTTCTTGTTTGATACGGTAGATCTTGAAAATTTACCTAACCTGATCACCAGTCATCCA